TAGGGCTACTTCAACCTCTAATTCAGCTTTCTTTTGGTATTAGACTGGTTTATATGGTACTGTGAAAGAGGGTCTAGATCTGTTAAAACATATTTTAAGTTAGAAGAAAAAATGTCTTAACTTGATCCTTTACTCTAGTCCTGCTCACTATTATTCTAGTATCCACAGTTTGGTTCTTGATTTTACTGACCTAACATCTCTTAATTCAGGTTTCCTTGACTTGCCAAATCCCCCTACTTGTGCTGCTCCTAACCTTGGAAAGTGGTATTTTTTTCTTGATATCACATTTTAAATATTAAAAAGATTTACATTCTTCTTCTCTTTACTTGATATGAAAGGCCAGTCTACCAGAAAATAAATTTCATTTGGATTCAATAGCCCTACTCCCATAAGTAGGAAAGGGCTCTAGACACAGCCACTAAACAAGTTATGTACTATGAAATCATTGAGTGATTTCCCTTCTCTGAACTTATATCTGTAGTTAACAGGGTTAGACTAATCAACAGCTTTCAATTTTTTGATGATGACTCATATTAAAGAATAAAATTTACATTATAAGCTATGACCTATCTTTTTTGTTTTCAAAAGTCTTTGGAAAAAAACACAAATCCAGGGCCAGATGGCTTCACAGGTGATTCTGCCAAACATTTAAAGAGCAGTTAATAACTATGCTTCATGAACTATTCTAAAAAATAACAATGGAAAGAAAACTTCCAAATTAATTTTATCAAGACAGTTTCACCCTGGTACTAAAACCAGATAAAAACCTCCTAAAGAAGATATCTATAGGCCAAAATTCCTGATAAACATGGATGCAAAAATTCTCAATAAAAAACTAGCAAACCAAATCCAAAAATATATTAAAGAAATAATTCACTACTATCAAGTGATATTTATTCCTTGGCTACAAAGGTGGGTCAATATTTACAAATTAGTCAATTGGATATACCTAGTTAATAGAAGGATAAAAACCATATGATCCTTTCAATAGAAGCAGAAATAACATTTGACAAAGTACAACCATTCATAATAAAAACCTTAAACAAAGTAGGGTTAGAGGAAACATACCTCAACATAATAAAGGTCAGATACTAAAAACCCATAAGTAATAACATGCTAAATGAGAAAAACTGACAGCTTATCCTTGACAGTCAGGAAAGAGATGGGGATGTCCACTCTCACCACTGTTATTGAACATTGTACTGGACGTCCTAGCCACAGCAATGAGATGTCAAAAAGAAAAAAAGGCATCTGAGTCGGTAAGGAAGAGGTGAAACTTTCACGAGTTAGGGATGGTATGATACTATATATAGAAGACCTGAAAGATTCTACAAAAAAACTGCTAGAAGTAATAAACAAATTCAGTAAAGTGGCAGATACAAAATCAACATATAGAAATGCATTTCTATACACCAATGATGATGCAGCAGAAAGATAAATAAGGAATCAATTCTATTTAAAATTGCACCAGTGACACCTGGGTGGCTCAGTCGATTAGGAGTCCAACTTTGGCTCAGGTCCATGATCTCGCGGTTTGTGGGTTTGAGCCCCGCATCGGGCCCTGTGCTGACAGCTAACTCAGAGCCTGGAGGCTCTCTTCGGATTCTGTGTCTCCCTCTCTCTCTGACCCTCCTCTGCTTGTGATGTCTCTCTCTCTCTCAAAAATAAATAAAACATTTTAAAAAAATTTAAATTGCACCAAAAACAAGATACCTAGGTATAAATCTAACTGAGAGATGAAAGAACTATACTCTGAAAACTATAAAACACTGATGAAAGAAATTAAAGATGACAGAGGAAATGGAAAGATACCCCATGCTAATGGAGTGAAAGAACAAATATTGTTAAAATGTTTATACTATCCAAAGAAATCTACACATTTAGGGGTGCCTGGGTGGCTCAGTCAGTTAAGTGTCCGACTTCGGCTCAGGTCATGATCTCATGGCTCATGGGTTTGAGCCCCGCATCAGGCTCTGTGCTGACAGCCAGCTCAGAGCCTGGAGCCTCCATCAGATTCTGCAGCTCCCTCTCTCTCTCTGACCCTGCCCTGCTCACACTGTCTCTCTATCTCTCTCAGAAATAAATAAAAACATTTAAAAATTTAAAAAATAAAAAAAAACAGCAAAGAAATCTACACATTTAATGCAATCCCTGTCAAAATACCAACAGCAGGCACCTGGGTGGCTCAGTTTGTTAAGGATCCAACTCAGTTTCAACTCAGGTCATGATCTCATGGTTCGTGAGTTTGAGCCCTGTGTTGGGCTCTGTGCTGATGGTGTGAGCCTTTTGGGGATTGCCTCTCTCTCTCTCTGTGTGCCCTTCCTCTGCTCATGCTGTCTCTGCCTCTCTCAAAAAAATAAATAAACTTAAGACAAAATACCAACAGCATTATTCACAGAGCTAGAACAAAAAAACCCAAAAATTTGCATGAAACGAGAGACTTTGAATAGCCAAAGCATTCTTGGGGTGGGGGGGGGAAGCACAATTGCAAGACTCACAATTCCAAACATCAAGTTATATTACAAAGCTGTAGTGATCAACACAGTATGGCACTGGCACAAAAACAGACACATAGATCAATGGAACAGAACAGAAAACCCAGAAACAAACCTACAATATATAGTCAATTAATATTTGACATAAAAAGAAAGAATGCTTAATAGAAAAAAGACAGTTTCTTCAACAAAGGGTTTTGGGAAAACTGGACAGCCAAATGTAAAAGAAACTCGACCACTTTCTTATAACATACACAAAAATAAACTCTTAAGTGGATGAAAGACCTAAATGTGATATAGGAAACCATGAAAATCATAGAAGACAGACAACACAGGCTGTAACTTCTTTGACACTGGCCATAGCTACTTTTTCAATATGTCTCTTGAGGCAAGGGAAACAAAGGCAAAAATAAACTATTGGGACTTCACCCAAATAAAAGGCTCTGCACATCAAAAGAAACAATCAACAAAACTAAAAGGCAAACTATGGAATGGGGGAAAATATCTGTAAATGACATATTTGATAAAAATGTAGTATCCAAAAAAATATAAAGAACTTATAAAAGTCAACACTTAAAAACAAATAATCTGATTAAAAAGTGCACAAGAGACATGAATAGGCTTTTTAAAAAAATTTTTAATCTTTATTTATTTTTGAGAGAGAGAGAGCGCGAGCGAGCATGAGCTGGGGAGGAACAGAGAGAGAGGGAGACACAGAACCTGAAGCAGACTGACAGCTCAGAGCCCCATGTGGGGCTCAAACTCATGAACTGTGAGATCACAAACTGAACCAAAGTTGAATGCTTAACCAACTGAGCCACCCAGGTGCCCCATGAATAGACATTTTTCCAAAGAAGACATACAGATGGCCAACAGACACTTGAATAGATTCTCAACATCACTCCTCGTCAGGGAAATACAAACCAAAACTAGAATACCTGTCAGAATGGCTAAAATTAACAACATAGGAAACAAGATGTGTTGGTGAGGATGTGCAGAAAGAGGAACCTTCCTGAACTGTTGGTGGTTATTGAAATTGGTGCAGCCTTTTGGAAAACAGTATGGAATTTCCCAAATAGTTAAAAATAGAACTACGCAAAGTCCAGCATTTGCACTTCTAGGAATTTACCCAAAGAATACAAAAATACTAATTGATAGGGTTACATGCATCCCAATGTTATAACAGTATTATCTACAATAGCCAAAATATGGAAACAGCCCAGTGTCCACCAACTGATGAATGGATAAAGAAGATATGGTATATATTTTCAATGGAGTATTACGTAGCCATAAAAAAGAATGAAATTTTGCCATTTTAGGACATGGATGGAACCAGAGAATATTATGCTAACTGAAGTAAGTCAGAGAAAGACAAATACCATATGATTTCACTCATATGTGTAATTTAAGGATCAAAACAAATGAGCAAAGGGAAAAAAGAGAAAGATAGGCAAACCAAGAAATAGACTCTTAACTATTATAGAGAACAAACTGATGGTTACCAGAGAGGAGGTGATTAGAGGGATGGGTTAAATAGAATGGGGTTTAAGGAGTGTACTTGTGATGAATACCGGGTATTGTATGGAAGAGTTGAATCACTATATTGTACACCTGAAACTAATTATTACAGTGTATGTTAACTTAAATTTTAAAAATATTTAAAAAATAGTTATCTAAAAGATGAGAAACAAAGTATAATCATAATGAATTGCATTTGTAATTGTAATTTTAATAGGAATAGCTATATATTTTTAAATTTTATTTGATATGATCATACAGAAAATTGAAAACTTTTTATCTCCAGTTCTATCAATTTTAATATACATAAAGTCACATAACCACCAGTATAATCAGGATAGGGAACAGTTCTATCGCTCTTAAGAAAATCTCATGCTATTACATTTTGGTCAAACCTTCCTACTCCTAACTTCTAGGAACCACTGACCTTTTTATTTTGTTACTATAGTTTTATCTTTTTGAGAAAAATCATATAAATGTAATCACACAATATGTTAACATTTTTAGCCTGGCTTCTTTTTGTCAGATTCATCAAGATTGTTGCATGTGTCAATGGTTTATTCCTTTTACTGGTGAGTATAATGCCTTTGTTTAAATGTGCCAAAGTTTATTCTTGAAAGACACTGAGGTTGTTTCCAACTTTTGGTAATTATAAACAGGGTTACTGTAAACATTAATGTACAGATTTTTCATTTTTCCAGGGTAAATACCCAGGAGTGGGATTACTTGGTCTCATGGTAAGTACATGCTTAACTTTATAAGAGAAACTTTCAAACTGTTGTCCAGAATGGCTGTACCATTTTGTATTCCCACTAGCAGTGTATGAGACTTTCTGCTGCTCTACATTCTTGACTATAGTTGGTAAGGTTATTGTTTTTAATTTTAGACATTCTATTAGGTGTATAGTAATATCTCATTGTGATTTTCACTTGCATTTACCTAATAACTACTGATATTAAACATCTTGGAATAGCTATATATAGTTTTTTAAATATGGAATGCTTCACCAATTTGCATGTCATCCTTGAGCAGGGGCCATGCTAATCTTCTATGTATTGTTCCAACTTTAGTATATGTGTTGCTGAAGTGAGCACTGGAATAGCTATATTTTTTAAAACACATTCTTTATAAAAGTAAACATGTACAATAGACTAAAATTTTTTCACAGTAGTCTATTCTAACAATATTTAATAAAATGTAAAAGGTTTTCCCATGGCAGTAAAATTCACAATATACTGGCATTGAAAGAGAAAATGTATGTTTTTAAACCCTACCTTTTCTTGCTGAAAACAAGCCTGCTAATCCCGAAACTGTAATCACTCCAATTTTTGGAAGAAAATCTCGAGGTGGGTTCTTCAGATAGATATAAGCATCTTTTAAGAAAGACATAGCACCACTTAAGAAATAAGTTAAAAAATAACATAAATGATGTGCTATAATTGGGCATTCTACATATGATGCAGAAAAGCTAAAGAAATTTGTTATGATAGTAGCAGATGGTTTAAACACTCTTCAGAAAAGCTACACAAAATAATGATTTGAGTAGCAATTTCAAAAGGTATTTAAAATAGTCCCTGTTACAAAATAAAATCTTCCTTCCACAGCTGACTTAATAATTGTTTTCCTAATACAGGCAACAGGCAATTATTACTCTTTAATTAAATATGATTCTACAGTGCACACCTTAACATGGATTACTATAAAGTAAATGCATGATTGTGTATGTACTATATCCTTAAATGGAAATGCTTCTGGCATTATGTGTTTAAACTTTGAGAGGATCCAGTAGGAATGGAAATATTTTATTAGAGAACCTTGAATAACTAACTAGGGATACATGTAACTTATGGACCCTGCATGCTACTACTCCCCAAAATCCAGAGGAGCCACTGTTCTTGGTTAAAATCAATGATCAAGATTAGAAGTAATGCTAGACTAAAAGTAGATGAAGAGTGGACACAAGTCTAGATTTCTTGTTTTTTTATGTATTTAAATTATTTCTGTTTCCATGCAACCCAAGAAAATACATCCTTCTATCACAGTTAATCACTTAATGGCAATCATTTATTTAATCATATTCCTCAAGACTGATGAGGAATATAATTTGGAATTCCAACATGCCTTAAGAAATGATAACACATTACTGGTCATCAAAATCATGGAGACATTTAAAATTTTAGCTGATCTTTCTATCTCCTGTACACATTCATGTTGAGAACTGGCTTAGTCCAAAAATATTAGGAAGATATATCTACTGCCAAATACCAATATCAAACTAAAGAGTCAAATACAATCGCTATCCAACATTAGCTCAAACATTCTAGAGTGACTAGTGGGTACAGTGTTACCCGGGAATAAATAGGAAAATTCTACATATTTTAACAGCAAATAGCACTTATTTAAACTAATTGATAACAATGGAGACATATTTCTCATTTATGCTTTGAGTATATAATATGGCCTTGCAGCTAAAACAGACCTCAGTTTGAGTCCAGGTGCTGCCACTTACTAGCTATGTGACCTTGGTAACCAACTTAACCTTTCTAACCTCAGTTTCCTTATCTGTAAAAAGGGAATAATTATAATACCAACACTCATAGAATTATTATAAAAATTAAATTATGTAAAATGCTTATCACAGTACCTTTGCATATAATAATTGCTTAATAAGTGATAGGTACTATTACTTTGTTATTGTTATCATAAAGTGCTATACAGAGTATCTTTTCAGTTGGTAAAACATGATAATGAATAACATAACACATTTATTTTTCTCACATTTAAATTTTACAAGTTAAAAAGACAATAGAACATTTCTAATTATGGATGGTTCACTCACCTACCTTTTCCATACTGTACTGTATCCATTATCCCATTTTTCACAAAAACATAAACACCCTAAGGAAAAAGGAAAAAAAGAAAAGGACATCTGGATTTTTTAAGATCCTGATAATTAAATCAAACAGGCGACATCTCATGGGACCATATATTAAAGTGTTAACAATGCACTCAACCTAAACCTAACTTTCCTATTTATTCACTATGAGAATACTTGTTGAACTTAGCTTCTTTTCATTTCTTGCTTTTCATTCTATTTAGCATGAATGATACTTACCTTTTTCCTCATATAAATAGGTGAAGTAATAGCTATAAAGTTGTCAAAGCATCTCACAGAAAATTTTGTAGAAATACAAAGATTTATCATTTTATTTTATAAAGACTTAGAAAAAATGAATGGAATTTAAATAAAACATGGATAGAGGTATATTTCAACTTAGCAACATCTGACTAATAAAGATGTGACAGCAACAACATAATGTTTGTGATAAAGTAATAACAAGCCTAAAGAAAGTGCTTCATCTTCTCCTTTTCTTAGTGTGCATTAGAAAGGGAAAAAATCTAAATAAGACATTTATCTCAAGATAGAAATCATCCTACATAGACTAGTGTTTGTTCTAAAAGAGGAATATAAATACTCTACAAATCAAGATTATATAAATCCACTGAAGGGATTAAAGTCTAAAATGAAATTTTTCCTTTTACCTGTTTCTAACTTTTTTAATGCAACAAATATGGTTATACTCATTTACTGAGCAATAGGTACTATCTCAATTACATCAATTACCCATATTAACTGTCTGTAGTCATGCTTTACTCTATTGAAGAAATCAGAAAACGCAATTGAAATATGGTCTCCATCTCTAAATTAGCTGCTATGTAACCATGGAATAAAAACAACAAAAAGGACTTTCAAAGCAAAGAACACAGAAATAATTATATTCGACAAGAAAGAAATAACTCATTGTTATTGTGTTATCTTGGTATTAGTAACTTTGTCTCACATATATTCATAGTGATCAGAGATGAAGAGGTTCATCCTGTTCATCATGGATTCAAGCTGTACGGACCAATACAGATATAAATGCCACTGAGTTACTTCTCTTTAAAGACTGTCTCTTGGGGTGCCTGGGTGGCTCAGTCAGTTGAACATCCAACTCTTGATTTTGGCTTAGGTAATGATCTCATAGCCATGAGATTAAGCCCCATGTCAAGCTCCATGCTCAGCTTGGTATTCTCCCTCCCTTGCTCTCTGAGCCTCCCCAATTTGTGTTCTTTCTGTCTCTCATAATAATAAGCTTAAAAAAAAAAAAAAAAAAGACTGTCTCTTAAGAACACTTCACCTTTGAAGTTATAATACCTATTGACCAGATGTCTAAAACTCATGTAGCTCTTGAGGAAGAAAACTAGTGGCTTCTTTTGGGAAGTTTTCCATAGCTTATTCAGGAATTCACTTTTACTACTGTGAATCACTGCTACTTAAATTTCAAAACACTAAAGAGAAGAGAGGCGCCTGGGTGGCTCAGTCGGTAAGCCTCCGACTTTGGCTCAGGTCATGATCTTGCAGTTCTTGGGCCCGAGCCCCACGGCGGGCTCTGTGCTGACAGCTAGCTCAGAGCCTGGAGCCTGTTTCAGATTCTGTGTCTCCCTCTCTCTCTGACCCTCCCCTGCTCATGCTGTCTCTCTCTCTCTCTCTCTCTCTCTCTCTCAGAAATAAATAAAAACATTTAAAAAAATTCAAAACACTAAAGAGAAGAGTAGGAATTGAATTCACTCAGCAAAATTCTAAGTTTAATGAAGAATACAATTTGAGCCAGAAGTAATTTTTAAAGAATGGATTATGTTTTTAGGGGAAAATTAGAAAAAGTTGTTTACAGGGGCGCCTGGGTGGCTTAGTCGGTTAAGCGTCCGACTTTCGCTTAGGTCATGATCTCGCTGTTCGTGGGTTCGAGCCCCGCGTCGGGTTCTGTGCTGACTGCCAGCTCAGAGCCTGGAGCCTGTTTCAGAGTCTGTGACTCTCTCTCTCTCTGACCCTCCCCTGCTCACGCTGTCTCTCTCTCTCTCCTAGAAATAAATAAAACATTTAAAAAAAAAAATTTAAAAAAAAAAAAAAAAGAAAAAGTTGTTTACATTTAAGATGAAATGCATTCAGAAGTGTCCTTCTTCAATCTATTCACTTTAACATATTAACAAAATAAAAGCTTTTTTTTTGTCTTAAATTGAGTGTGATTCAAATGCTAATTAATTAATATATTTCCCTAGGAGATCAAACTATTAAGAGTGTATAATAGAACTAATAAGATTAGAATTGTTTGACAGGCACACCTTTTTAAAATAAAACCATGAATTCATCAGATATTTTAAATATCTGGAATGACCAGAATTCACATTTAGTGTTTCATATAATCATTAGAATTTTTTTCTAAAAAGTGCATTAAAAACAAAAAAAGAACAAGGGTTCACAATTGGTTGGTTATATTTGAGAAAAAGTTGTGTGGTTATTAGGTCAGAATGATGAGAACAATGGTATCAACATTATCATTATTGACACTGACATTGGAGATATACTAACACGCCTATGTAGATGTGATGATAATGGAACATCAATATATTATCAGCTTAGTCCGTCATTCTGCTGCTAGATAATGCTGACTAAGGCTAAGTATTAAAGTAAGATGAATTCTATTTTTCCCAATAGCTGACTATATTCAGAATGCTTTTATAAGCTAAACCCTACCAGACTAGTGAACATTTTGCTTAGCCAAATAAAGAATAATTCAGAAATAATTTCAGAATTTATTATAAAAAGTCAAATAACTACACATGAAAAAGAACATAAATGCTTGATGAAATTACCTTAATCTATGCAGTAGTCATATAGTAGATTAAATATTAAATATGACCACAAATTCTTTGCTGCTACTCATATTGAAAGTTGGCATCTAATTCAACTCCGTTTAAAACTGGGTTGGCCTTTGTGACTTAACAATAGAATGCTGTAGAAGTGACTTTCTTGGACATATGAGGATAAATTTGAAGCTTGGTAAATTCTGCCAGGGGCCTCTCGTAGGAGTCCTAAACTGCTTGTGTAAGTTATCTGACTCTGTTGAGACCATCATGACTGAGGCTACATGCAGATGCTTCATGCATTCACAGCTGAGCCCAGCCTTCTAGCCATCTATGACAAAGTGCCAGAGATGTGAATGAAGCAGTCTTAGATCCTCTACATTAGCCCATTCACCTAATGAATAACACT